AACATTTGAAATAGATAATCGTTTACAGTACAAATTCCGACTATACAAGGAATATACATGCTTTTTCTTCTTGTAGACAGTTGATAATAAAGTATTTATTTAAATGTCCGATAACGTAACTAACAGCCATTACAATGTTTCTCCGGCTCATGAAAGCTCCTACTTTTGAACCTCGTTGTGTTACGATTAAAGTCTTAAAGACGGTGTGACCTTGCAACAGCACATTACTACAACACAAATTTAAACTGATCAAAGGGGCGATGGGGTAACCTAATGGTTAAAGCATTCGCTCGTTACGCCGAAGGTCCGGGTTCGATTCCCCACATGCTAAAAGCGGCGTAGAACCCAACTCACACAACTGGCTGTTGAACATAAAGGTGTTTATCAAGAAAGACATAATAAAATACGACTTCGACATGCTCTGAGGAATGTCTTGTGAATAAAAGCGACAAAACCCTTTCCACATATATAAGACACATCTGCCAGGACCAGATTCGAGTGCAGGAATTCGCCTTATCACGAGAATGTGTCAATGAACCACTATCAAATCGCTAAACAATTACACAATGGACACATATGCACATTTATGCTGGTCAAATGTTCACCTAAAAGTCGTACAAATATGTAACAATAAATAATAGATAAGGAATTGCATCGGACATAATTTATGTTACCGATGCGTTAAATTGTGAATTGTCCTTCACGTGTCCACCATAGAAGTGTTCGTTGAGGCCGCCTTTAATGTTGTATTGTAACCTTGATCGAACAGCTTCTGAGAATGGTTCGTGCGAAATCTACGAAAAGAGAGCATTCTCGATTGTACCTCAAAATTTGTTAAATGTAAACACCAAAGGTTGGAATTTGTGGACTATTGTTCAAGGAAGTGAGTGAGTGGATTTTACGCCACTCCTTGCAATATTCCAGCACTGTTACTGCGGGGACACCAGAAATAGGCTTCACACATTGTACTCGTGTAAGGAATCGAACCCGGGCCTTGACGAGCCACCGCTTTAACCACTATCCCAGTGTCCCAGATAAGGGGAATATTGACTGTTGGAAAGTTGAAACCATGCACCTTGCCATACATGCTTGTAGAGAGATTTCATCATCCCACATCTTCATGCATACTTTGTTGATCTGAATTTTACAAGATGAGGAGGCCTCACTGGTCTTCTTTTTTTCAAGTTTAGGTGTGTGAATCAGTGGAAGGGAATTAGCCATTGAACAACGCAATGAGATCTTCGATGTGCCCTCAGCTGGAGCTAGACTTCACAGCCAAATGACCTGTTTTTGATTTGACAAAATTTTATTTGCTTCATGTGTATGTCGGAATAGATCTACAAGAAGGGGAGCATAATTAGTGCCCATAGGGATGCCTATGTCTGGTCTAAATGAATGGACGCCAACGCTAGTGAATTAGTGCTAATAGAAGCCAAGATTTAACAGTTAAGTAGTGTTGATAGGTGATGAACAGTGGACATCTAGAAGCCAATATCTGGAGAATGGACAAAGGGCAGATGGGAGGTAGCCTGTAATAACACTAATGGATAAACACAATAGAGAAAGAGAAAGACACCTAGAGGCCAGTACAAACAGATGGACCCAGAGTAAAATGTTTAGCACAGACATTGATAACGCAATGATTACAGACAGCTAGAGGCCAGTAAAACCAGATGGACCCAGAGTACGATGTTTAGCACAGACATTAATAACGCAATGATTACATACAACAATGATCAAAATAACAAGTCCCAGGCATTGGGCAGGTGTGTTCCTTGGTCGCGGTTCATGGCTGGCAGAGGAGGTTTTGATTTGACACTGGGCTCCCTTATTTCCTGTTCAGGGGATTGAATCAGTGGAAGGAACTGGCTATTTGATAGTTATTGAACAACGAAATTGGATCATTGACATGCCTGAAGCTAGTGTTAAATTTTATGGCTAAACTACTGACTGACTGAGTGAGTTTGGTTTTTCGCCACCTTTAGCAATATTCAACAACATCACGGCGGAGGACACCAGAAATGGGCTTCACTATTCGAACCCGGTTCTTCGGCGTTACGAGCCAACGCTTTGACCACTAGGCTACCCCACCGACCCCAAAATTACTTGTTTTGATTTGACAACCAGAGCAGAAATTCTGCTTCATATGCATAACGAAACAGATCCACAAGAAAGAGAGTGCTATCGGTGCTTATGGGAATGCCAACTTCTTGTCTAAATGGTTCATCCCATTGTACATATGTATTATCAATAAGGAGGCCATGTATTTTCATAGTAAATGAAGATATATCTTAGAAATGAAATGATCCAGCCGACAAAAAGCTAAACGGGAGGACAAACTAGTAAACTGTCAGAAGTACATGTATATGTTTAACATGAACAAAGTGGTCTAATACAGTTGTCTGACAAACAAGATATCGTTTTTATCTACATCTGTTCATTTGAATGAGTGAGTGAGTGAGTTTAGTTTTACGCCGCTTTTAGCAATATTCCAGCAATATTACGGCGGGGGACACCAGAAATGGGCTTCACTCATTGTACCCATGTGGGGAATCGAACCCGGGTTTTCAGCGTGACTAGCGAACGCTTTAACCACTAGGCTACCCCACCACCCTTTCAATTGGATGAACAACAAGTGAATCAATACATACACACAGAGTTACATGGAATTTATTCAGAATCATTATCAAAGCAGCAGAACGAAAGACATACATATGCATTACTTTCAACAGTTTTAACATTTTCAATATGGTGCTAACGATTTTCAAACCTCTAAAATGGCCTTTATTGGTTTACCGTAAAACACATATAGCGAAACGTGTTCAAAATACCCGTACATGTCCTGGTTCCTGGCGCAGAAAGAATATGTTCGAGATATCGACAAATACGAAGTGTACGAAATGCGTAGATAAACTGAAATTTAATTAATAAACACAAAAAGATTACAAGACACCAATATTCCAGAATATTTCCATTATCACAGATACAGCTGATACAATATATGCGATATATATATGCGATACTATGCTTATCACAGCAGTAATTAAAACATTTATATCAAAATGCCAAAGAATATAAGTACAACTCCATATATACAAAAATCAAAGTTAATAAACTATTTCATTCTTGAATATTACTTTAATGTACATATGGATGTAAATACAAATCTATGCCCTAAATACGTTACAAATTCAACTAAGATGTTCAAATGCCAAATGAAACATGACAACATCTCTGACGGGAAAGACAGTGTATCCTGTTTCTTATCAAATCTAAACTTTCGCTCAATTTCTGGGGATGTTGCAAGTACTACATTATGTTTGTTACCGTATATTGGTTGTTTTTTTCGATTTTGCATCATTGTGATACAGTAACAAGTATCAAAAGTATTTTTCATACATAATGCCAGATACAGAGTGTAATACATAAGGTTTTCTCGGATAGGAAAACTGTGTTGAATATGTTGTAAGAAATATGCTAAGCAGCAAAAGAAACGTCAGTTTGGAATTCTCCTTCGCAGAATCGGATAACTGTAAACTCATTGAATGTTTTGATTGTATATTTTTGACTACATCTCCAACTTTACCTGAGCAAAGACATTCCTTCCCAAACTCAGAATGGAACCCAGGAAATGATCTCCAAAACGCAACCTGATCTCGGAGATGGTACGGTATTCTCAATGGTTTTCATGCAACTCATGCTGTTCACAAGGACAGCCCTATAAAATGCACCCCCAAACCTGGTTGAAACATTCACATTACAACGTGAGCAGGATGCCGCGTCTCACGACAGCTCAGAGGAACCAGGGGCTAGGAAGACTTGAAGCTGGCCACACTGCACAAGCCGTTGCCAATCACTCCCAGGTCAACGTTCGGACCATCTACAGACTGCAGCAACGTTTCCGGGCCACCAACACCACAAATGATCGCCCCCGTACTGGCAGACCAAGGGTGACCACAAGACCGCAATGTTGTGTGACAGTATGTACGGAATCCCTTCATGCAGGCATCCCAAACAGCACGCCAGACAGTGGGAACACACGGAAGATCAATCAGTACTGATACAGTACGCCGACAGCGGGAACCTCCATTGCCGTAGACCTTACCGTGGGCCTATCCTCCCCTCGTCATCGGCGTGAACGTCTACAGATTGCCCTACAACACCAAAACTGGCGATACAGGCAATGGAGAACTGTTCTGTTCACAGATGCGAGTCGGTAATGCGTATCAACTGCAGATGGCAGAACAAGAATATGACGACGACGTGGCCAGCGTTACTCAGACCAATGTGTTATGGAAAGAGACTCATGGGGAGGTGCAAGCATCATGGTATGGGGTGGAATAGGCCTGAACCAGAGAGTGGGTTCTGTGGGGTTCCAGAACCTTGGTCCAGGAAGAGGAGGCGGCATCACAGCGGTACGCTACATCGACCAAGCTCTCAGACCCAACGTCATACCACATTTTGCATGTCACCGGAACAACATTTTCCAGCATGATAACGCCCGGGCCCATACTGCCAGAGCTACACGAGACTTCCTACAGCAGAACGGTGTCAACATTATGCAGTGGCCAGCCCTTAGTCCTGACTTAAACCCAATTGAACATCTTTTGGATGAAGTTCAGAGGAGATTGAATAATGTCATACCAAGACCGAACACAGCCGATTTATTGCGCCAGCCCTTTCTCAGAGTGTGCTTCCAGGTGCCAATCGATTTGTGCACTCCATGCATAGACGCTGTGCTGCAGTTATTGCCGCTCGTGGTGGTCACACTAGATACTGAAGTCAAGAGTCTGAATGGACTGCGACATTCACGTAATGTCTTGAAATTGTGTTGAATTATTCATTGATGTGTCAAGATCTTGTACACAATTTTTCTTGTTTGATCCTCTTATTATGTCCATTTCTGTAATGATTTGATTACAGTGCCTATCTAATTTTGAATTCGTACTGACGTTTATTTTGCTGCTTAGTATAGTTCTTCTAAACTCTGCCTCAATCTGTTTAAAAAAATCATGTAGGTCTTGCGTACTTAATTAGTGTGTTGTACAGTTACCTGTTTAAAAAATCATGTAGGTCTTGAGTTGGTTGTCGGTTTACTTGTACACATGTTTACAACATTCATGTAGGTCCAGCGTACGTAATTAGTGGGTTGTCGGTTTACCTGTTCACCTGGTTACACAATCATGTAGATCTAGCGTACTTAATCAATGGATTGTCGATTTACCTATGCACCCGTCATGCAATCATGTAGATCTACCGAAGTTAATTAGTGGGTTTACCTGTGCACCTTTTTATACAATCATGTAGGTATAGCGTACTCAGATAGGGAGTTATCTGAAAGGTATCTGTGTTTCTTTGTCCTATACCTGATATACTGGTTTTATGATTTAAACTATTTTTTTTTGTCGTAGCTTGTAATTTATACAACTCTGAAGACACTAAAGAACAGCCAATCCTTTGATATCAATATAGTAATTCGATCATTATAGAGTTGGGTGTTCTTAACTTCTTTTGAGTAGGATACTAGACACAATATTCCTGTGTTCTATGTCTTTCTGTTTATGACATTTGGAGTAGATCTTTTTTTTATAGTTTCCATTTCAACTGATGGTTCCAGGCAGCCTTCTCAAGGTTGATGTGTTTTATGTGTTTGAAGCAATATGTAACAGTTACACTCACGGACAAAAGTAACTACACACCAGTGTTTCATCGTAGCTAAAAATGAAACGAACAAGAGTGAGTGAGTGGTTGTACGCTATACATACATACTTAATTCTGCTTACTTGATGATTTAATGCATACCAGTGTTTGATATTAATTGTGCTTACTTTATGATGTAATACATACCGGTGTTTTGATCTTAATTGTGCTTACTTTATGATCTAATACGTACCGGTGTTTTGATCTTAATTGTGCTTACTTTATGATCTAATACGTACCGGTGTTTTGATCTTAATTGTGCTTACTTCATGATCTAATACGTACCGGTGTTTTGATCTTAATTGTGCTTACTTTATGATCTAATACGTACCGGTGTTTTGATCTTAAATGTGCTTACTTTATGATCTAATACATACCGGTGTTTTGATATGAATCGTGCTTACATGATGATCCAATACATACCGGTGTTTGACCTTAATTGTGCTTGAACCTTAGATTTGTAATGCAACAGTGACAGCTCTTATCCTAGTAACGTTTGTTGTTGTTGTTGTTTTTGTTTTTGCATTTTTCAAATCTAATTTTCAGATGAATACTTTCTTATTCCCGCCAGCATACAATGTATTTAGAAATATTGAACAAGCTTTATGATAGTACATTGCAAGCTGCAGGGAGTGTGAGAATAAATCATTGCATTAAAATGATATAAATAAGATATAAGACAACAATGTGTAAATCAAGTTATATATAACAGTGTACAACTGAGATATATCTAAAACCAAGCCAAAGGCATGTTCTGAAGTTCATCGCGACTGGTCTTCGGATCAGCTTTTCCAAGGCGCTTGTTGCCTCTGTTGTCTGTCTTCTCACGGCTGGAAAGAATTGAACAAAACACTTAACGTTAAAACATGTTAATCCAAGAAATCATGCCCATACAAACCTTTAAAATATTCATCCTTAAAAAGTCTTAGTTCAATAAACTAAATTTACTCGTGCCAAAAGAAGTCGGGTGCAGGCGATTAGAAAAAGAAAAAAAGCTCCGTGTTAGTGAGTGACTTTAGTTTTACGTCGCACTCAGCAATGTTCCAGCTATATGGCGGCGGTCTGTAAATAGTCGTGTCTGGATCGGACAATCCAGTGATTAACATCATGAGCATCGTACTACGCAATTAAGTTACGATGACATGTTTCAACCCAGTCAGCGAGCCTGACCATACGATCAAGTTAATCGCCTTTTATGACAAGCATGGGTTGTCATCGTATCCCAATTGCGTAGAGCGATGCTCATGTTGTTGATCACTGGACTGTCTGGTCCAGACTCGATTATTTACAGACCGCCGCCATATAGCTGGAATATTGCTGAGTGCGACGTTAAACAACAAACAACCAAGAAAAACAAGTTCCTGAGGATAGTAAAGCCTGCTTATTCTTTCGCATTGACGTAATGTATTAAACCTACTTGTTGCAAATCACGTGTATGGTAAAATCATTCCCATTGCACCAACAGAGTGAGTGAGTAGGTTAGTTTTACGCCGTTTTTTAGCGTGGGCTGTTCCAAAAAAAAAAGTCATGTATACCATTAATCATATCACGTATACTTCACGCTGCCTCTGTGTACACATACGAGCTGCGTAAAGCTTAGTTCATTTCATTGCCTCTTGGCGGGCTTCGACCAAGGTTTCAGACAAAGGACATATGTGATTTGATCTGAATCACACTCTCGGCACTCTGACAAGCATTCAATACCGGTGACCGTATGAAAAATGAAACTTAACAGAATCCTGACTGAAATGAAATATATTACCCACTATATCGTTTAGGGAAATAGTAGAGTTATGAGATATCATGGCATATGTCAACCAAGTCAGCGAGCCTGACCACCCGATGCCGTTAGTTTCTTACGACAAGCATGGGTTACCGAAGATCAATTCTAACCCGGATCTTCACGGGTCCAGAGCTGACTGCGGATTGTCGTGGGCAACTCTGGGATTTAAACTCACAACCAATCACATGATTAGCAGTGCCTAAGACTGAGCTACCAAATACCCAGTAAGCAAAACAGTTGTGTCCATAAACAAGGCCCAACATCTAGACCCCACAGTGTACAACCTTCATCTGTACCTGTCCTAAAGTGTTCAACAGATTAAATAACAGAATCACCAGAATCAAAGAAAAGTACTAGGTTTAAGTACTAAGTATCAATTATATTAGACCCCAGGTATCTTTTGTTACATATGTAGTATCAACACTCGTTGAAGAATGTTTAAAGCTCCGAAGGAATATTGGTGAGAGTCTTTGAATGAAATTTAAAAAGTGAAACACATGAAGAGGTATTTTATTAACGTCAACTTGTGTGATATGAGAGACACGACGTTTTGGAATATACTTTACATGAAGTAGAAAACATTTACTCCTAAATATCGTGATTCTCATGCTACAGAAGTTAACATCCAGAAACAGCCGCCTGAAATGGCGTCTATTAAATCTTGTCAAATCACCGATAGTCTTTTATTGAAGAGATTTGAATGTCTAACGCTGCAAATGTCAAGCTACTTTAAATGCACAAATAGCTATTATTGCATCGTTAATTTGACCACGAATCTTTAGTAAACTAAATGTATAGATATTTAACGTTGATACCAAGATATATATATATATATATATATATATATATATATATATATATATATATATATATTAAGTCATTTCACTAATATATATATGTATATATATTAGTGTAATGACTAAAAAATTAAGTGATTCCGTGAAATGACTAAGAGGGTCAGCCATTTCGCGAATTATTAGTCATTTTGCGAAATGACTGATTTCACATACTGACTGTAACATACCCCCCCCCACACACACACACACACACACCCACCACCACCATCACACACACACACACCCGCCCCGTCGTGGCGTTTATCACTACTGTAGCGCCAATGCAAAGACTCATAGTTTGAGGTTGGAACCACGATCCTGTTTCGAGTAAGGGGCACAACTCAGTAAACGAATTGTGTTGCTACATGTCCTTGGGTCCCTGTATCGAGAGCTACTGGAGATACGTACCTGAACCATTTAATGCCACATTTACTTGCAAAATGGTTGGCAGCTTGTCTGAAGGTTTCTGCTTGGAAGAAGTCCCCCTCTCTGGTTAGAAGGCAGAATACCAGGACGAAGCTCAGAACGGTCAGACACACAAACCCCCATAGCATCACCTGGTCTTTGCTGAAATTAAAGAGAGATAGAGTTTAGTTTTACGCCGCCTTACGCAATATTCCATCAACATCACGGCGGGGAACATCAGACATGGGTTTAGCACATTGAACCCACCTGGGGAATCGAACCCGGGTCGAGCGAACACTTTGACCACTAGGCTTCCCCACCGTCCCTGCAATAAAAGATGCATTAACGTGGAATTGTTTAAACTTTGGCACGGCAATATCCCAGCAATAGACGGATTGTAATAACCCGAGTCTGTCCCAGTCAAACCAATGGCTGATGTAATGAGTATCAACAATATCCGTCGCGATCGGAGTGGCAATGGCATGCAGTTAACCATCCGATAAATAATGCCAAATATAGGTTATTGAGGGTCGGATTATTAATCTGCTCCTGAATCCCAACGGGGTTGAGTGAGTGAGTGTACCAGCTATAAGACGACTATACGACAAAATGTACCCATTTTTTCAATCGGACAAAGATCTTTGAACAGTGCAAAACATATTTGAAACCAGAAATGGGCTTTACACATTATATCCATCAGGGGAATCGAACATTGGCCTTCGGCGTGAGGAGCGTACGCCTTAACCACTAGGCTACCTCCACGCCTCTTAACTGTAAGTGAAAGACTACCAAGTATAGAATATAACCTTGACCAACGGTGCAAAATATCATTTATCATAGTAAACTATATTGAAATGAAGGATTTTGATTATTTTATAGGTCGTGGCGGACGACCTGTTATAACATGGATAAAATATTGCCGAATTGGCTGTAAACTGTATCATACAAATATTTCACTTGGAATGGTCCTTCTGGACAGAGGCAATATCACTGTTTATGTCTTGAAAGAAGTTATTTTTCAAGATCATCCGATTCTTGATATAACCATACTTGATAAATCTTGTCACGATCTTGAGTTTTAGTAATAAATTGGACTTGTATCATTTTCACCTAATGGTATTTTTGTTTTCTGACATTAACAAGGTCAAAGTGAAATAAAATAAGTGCCATATAATCGGTAATGTAAGATTTAATGATGAGAAAACAGCATGAGATGAAATAGTGCTCCGTTAAATCATCTGAGTTGAGTCGTATGTCTTAATTATTAGTGAATTCGTTGTGAAGGATCAGGTTTTCACTAGCTGAAGTTACAGTTTTTAATTTCACTGTCATTGAAAACGTGTTTATATTATGAAAAATGAAACATCACAGAATGCCTGTAACATAACACGTATTAATACCCACCGCCATTATAAAAAGCATACCGTAATATTAACTAATTTCAATCGTCATCCCGGAGACACCGGGTTCAACTCTCAACATGTGTAAAATATGTTAAGCCCATTCCTGGCGTCCCACACCGTGATAATACTGGAACATAACACGTATTAATAGCCCACCGCCATTATAAAAAGCCTACCGTAATATTAACTAATTTCAATCGTCATCCCGGAGACACCGGGTTCAACTCTCAACATGTGTAAAATATGTTAAGCCCATTCCTGGCGTCCCACACCGTGATAATACTGGAACATAACACGTATTAATAGCCCACCGCCATTATATAAAGCATACCGTAATATTAACTAATTTCAATCGTCATCCCGGAGACACCGGGTTCAACTCTCAACATGTGTAAAATATGTTAAGCCCATTCCTGGCGTCCCACACCGTGATAATACTGGAACATAACACGTATTAATAGCCCACCGCCATTATAAAAAGCATACCGTAATATTAACTAATTTCAATCGTCATCCCGGAGACACCGGGTTCAACTCTCAACATGTGTAAAATATGTTAAGCCCATTCCTGGCGTCCCACACCGTGATAATACTGGAACATAACACGTATTAATAGCCCACCGCCATTATATAAAGCATACCGTAATATTAACTAATTTCAATCGTCATCCCGGAGACACCGGGTTCAACTCTCAACATGTGTAAAACGTGTTAAGCCCATTCCTAGCGTCCCCCACCGTGATAATACTGGAACATAACTGCGGCTTAAAACAATGCTCACTCATTCGATGTTTCCAGGTGGGTCTCTTATCAACACTGGTATTACAGTGAATGGGTGAGTTTGGATTTACGCCGCTTTTAGCAATATTCCAGGAATATCACAGCGAGGGACACCATAAATGGACTTCACACAACGTACCCATGTGGGGAATCAAACCCGGTTCTTCGGCGTGACGAGCGAACGCTTTAACCACTATGCTACCCCACTGCCCAACACTCGCATTACAAAAAATAACAGGTGAAAGGGCTCATCAACTGGTCACACTCAAATAGGTACAATCTTACTCCTGGAAACATTCCCATTACTTTATAGATACTTCTAGATACATCTGGGTCGATCACGTCTGACCAGTGAAAAGTAAGAATGGGCTAGACGATCCAGTTCTTGAGAGCATGAGCATATGTCCACGGAAATGGCATACAATGACATGCAGTCTGGAATCATATAAAGAACTTAATTAATCTAGAGGTCTCCAGCAAACATGCACTCTGAATCTATATTCTTATCCGGAATCCCAAGGATCTGTGAGAATCATCGAGAGTAACTAGTTTCAATACCGCAGGTTGGCTGTCGATAATCACCATAATGAATAACCACCAAGTTGGCTAGAAGATGATCTGTTCAACAGTTATAAAGTGTAATGGTCAAGTATGTCTAAACATACCTAAGTGAGTTACACAGATTGTTGTTTAGAGTGAGTGAGTGACTGAGTGAGTGAGAGTATGGTTTTATGCCGCTCTTAGCAATACTCCAGGAATATCACGGCCGGGGACACCAGAAATGGGCTTCACACACTGTACCCATGTGGGGAATCGAAGCCGGGTCCTCAGCGTGACAAGCGAACGCTTTAACCACTAGGCTACCCCATTGCTCCTGTTACTTAAAGATAAATGTGGCAAGATGTGAAGAGCGTTCATCTTCTTCAGTGTATGTAGTTGTTGGTCATGTGACATTGAATCTGACATTCCAGTGTTTAGTCCATCCTTAAGATGTCCTGTTCAACATATGTGAAACATAACTACAAACATTTACTCAAGAGGTTGGATAAAGGGTCCATATCATCATCAAATTATCGAAGGCATTAAACAGTCTACGAAAAGAATTCGTTTAGCAGTTCATTGCATGTCAGACAACAATAAAGCGACATGAGACTTGGATATTCTACCAATAATAGAGAATAATACGCTGTAGGGGTCTTATACAAGCCGTATGTGGCAGAGAGGTTCAGATAAATCTATCATACTTCTGGCCATCGTGTGTGTCCCCACTTCTGACGTCGTTGTATTAATGCCATCTGATGGAGGGAGGTCCAGCAGACATACCGTGATTTAAACGTCCATCATTTTGTACTGTTCCAGTTCTATCATCAGTCAGGGTGATTTAAAGGAGATAACCTGACGATGATGGAATCAGTCAGAAATATCAGGTTGGTGTGAATGACACTGCTAATAGCTTTAGGAGCCAATACTGTTCCAGTCCTAGCAGCAGGGAAGGTCCTGTTATTAGAGGTAATGGAAACGAGAAACTGTCATTGATACATTTTAAGACCCCGAAGCCAGGTAATGTTCTCTCAGAACCCAGTTCGCTTGACAAGAAGAGATACGTTCTGTCATCAAAGGACACTTTATCCTTTGTATGACGGTAGGAGAACTAGCTGCTGTCTTTCTACATTAATTGATTGATTGTATAACGCGGCCGCACTCAGCATATTCCAACTATATGGCGGCGGTCTATAAACAATCGGGTCTGGACCAGACAATCCATGTGTATAAAGTGTGTGTGTGTGTGTGTGTGTGTGTGTGTGTGCGTGCGCGCGTGTGCATGTATGTATATTTGCATTGAGTACGTACATATGAATGGATGGAGGTACGTACGTATCTATATACTAAAACTATATAGTATAACCAGAAATTATTGAGAATTTTAGGAATATGTTTAATTGGATTTCTAGTATAAACAACCTTGACCAGCTATCAAGCGATTGGTTTCATTCAAGAGAGACAACTCCGTTAATCCTTTTTCATTAGTTTGTGAAGAGTTATCCCCTTTGTTTACTTGCAAGCAGACGACATTTTCAGTGATCCTCAGTACGGATGATTTAGAGAAGAGGAAGTTGATTTTAGAGTATTATAACAAGGACATCAGATCAGCTAAAGTGATTTCAAGGTTAGAACAGGCATCCCTTTATCCACTGTTTATCGTGTTTTGAAAAATATTGTAAATGGATATGGCATTGAGCACCAGGGAGGCGCAGGTAGGCCCAGAAAATTGACTCGATGACAGGGGGCGGCTTGGTATTCTTATTCTTATTCTAAAAACAAACGAAGGAGTTTAGAAAACTTAAGGCTGGATATGATTGATAGAGGAACTGTGGCTGTCTGTAAGGAGACAATTAGAACTGAGCTGCATGCAATGGGTTGGCAGAAAAGTCGAGGAATTCCATCACCGATCATGAAACCTGAACAAAAGGAGCGAAGGTTGAACTGGTGCTTACAGCATAGAAATTTTAACTGGGACAATGTGATTTTCTCAGATGAAAGTTGTGTGTGGCTGTTTCCTAATACACTGAAATTCTGGATCAAACAAACTGAAAAACCTTTGTATCAGCGCCCAAAGTACAGTCCTAAATTTAACGTGTGGGTGGCATATCTGTGTAGGGGGAACGCCCCTCTGTGTATTTGAAGGGAATATGAACAGTGAGCGGTACACAGATATTCTCGAGGGACATTTACTTCCATCTGTTCACGTGTTCTATGAAAATGTTTTGATTTTCCAGCAGGACAACGACCCAAAACATCGTTCAAAGCATTCACAGGCCTGGTTTCGGACCCAAAATAGGACATTATTAGATTGGCCAAGCTATAGCCCTGACCTAAATCCAATAGAAAATGTTTGGGGACTTATGAAGGAAAGTGTCAATAAGAAAAATCCGACAAATATTGCTGAAATGAAAGAAGAGGTGGTTCGATATTGGGACAGCATGGACCACGACTTTCTAACTTCTTTGATCAGTAGTATGCCCCGCCGCATTGAAGCCTGCATTGCTGCCCATAGTGACTTGACAAAATACTGACTGTTCACCTGTCTTTGAATCTGGAGTTATGTTCTGCTAATATCCACATTTAATACGTGAATAATGAGTGAAAAAAAATAATTACAATCTTAAATTCTCAATAATTCCTGGTTGGACTGTACATGTATGATTGTGTTTTCTATATATCCCTTTCCTGATTTCTAAGAAACTCGCATATTAGGCTGACTGTTTGGACCAGCAGCTTTTGGTTTGTAAGTGCAAATCAACTTTTGCCGATAAAGTATGCTCTGGTTACACAATCGAATGCCCTAAAGCCTTTTTCGTAACTTTAAAATACATTATGACATACGTAAGATTCACTTTAGGATCCTTATGGCCCTTGTTTGAAGAAGAGATGACTTAGGGCAATTTCGTTCTATAGAAATAGAAATTGCAAAACCCTTTCCACATTAATAAGAAATATCTGCCAAAAGCAGAGTCATTGTACAATTGAGACTTTATCATGAGCAGATATTTGTATCAGCAGTATTACAGCTGTATGATGCTGTTTGTAAACGAATCGGGTCTGAACTAGAAATCCAGTGATTGTCGCCATGCGATACGATGACGGAGCATGTGTTTATGAATCACTGTGAAATAGTGATGATACACCGGTGGCCCTGTCATAAACACATGCAAAGTCTAGTCAACTGTTCGCCTGAAATAATTCGGGAAGGTATTGTATAAGTCAAAACAGGAAATTTCATCGGACATCAGTTTTGTCACTGATGCATCAAATGTGGACATTTCCTCCATATGTCTACCATACATCTACTTGAAAGCTTTACTGAGGCCTTGTTTGTTGTAACCTCGATCAAACAACTTCTGAGCACGAGTGGCAAAACGCTCTTTGTAGTCCTGATAAAAAAAGCACACTCGACAGTACCTCAAAAGTTGTGAAATGTAAACACCAAAGGCTGGAACTGTTGGACTATTGCTCTACATGAAAGGAAAGTTGACTATTGGGAAGTTGAAATCATCCCTTTTGTCATACAGCCTTCACTCTGAATCTCTATGCATCGATCTAAATATGAAACAGTTGAGGCCGTCTCACTTGTCTCCTTAATTTCAAGTTCAGGTGGGTAAATCAGTGGAAGGCAATTGGTTATTTGATGGTTATTGAACGAAATTAGATCATCGATGTACCGGAAGCTTCAGTTTAACATCTTGGCCAAATTACCTTTTTTGATTTTGCCAACCCAAGCAGAAATTCTGATTCATATGCATAAGGAACAGATCCGCAAGGAGTGGAACACAATTGGTGCCCGTGGGGATGCTTACTTCTTGGCGAAATGTTTTAACCCCAATTTTCACAAAGATGTTATCAATGAGAAAGTCCAGCATTTCTGATTTCACATTTTGTTTTCTCGTAAACTTCAAATGACATTTGCTTTTATTTTTGACAAATTGAACCTCTGAAGATAGATAAGTAGGTATGCCTTTGTTCACCACTTTTGTTTACAAAAGCCCCATGAATCAAGGAATAAAGTTTTCCCTTCAGTTTGTTATGTGGGATAGTGGTATATTATGTTGAAAAATCAAAACGGAACTCGGTCCGTTTCTGAGATTCTAAAAAAAGTAAGCAAATCTTTTGCGTTTTTGAGAATCCACATGGTATTAATTCCGCTTGTCTAAAAAAATGTATGTGAATATCGAGAAAGTCTTGATAGTATGAAAACATGTCGCTGATTTCAAACTGACAAAAACGTGTCATTAAAATGGCATATTATATACACTCTTATCAAATAGTAGGGATGTGACAGAGCATGTCATCACCGGGCCATAGGGGCAATATTGGAAATTTCAAAGCTGGCGCTTTTGGATAATGATCAGCGATGCATCCAATCAGTACGTCATGATTTGCCAAAGATTCATTCATTCACCGAGCCATACTACCTCTGCATCTCCGGGTAGCCCAGAGGTTAAAGCGTACGCTTGTCATGCCAAAGACCGGGGTTCGTTTCCCCGCATGGATACAAAATGTGAAGCCCATTTCTGGTGTCCCGCCGTGATATTGGTGGGATATTGCTAAAAGATGCTGCTGGGCGTTCTTTTCCTCGCCGTCAGACCATGCCCATCAAAGATCCAGTGATCAACATCATAAACATCGATCTAAGCTATTAGGATACGAAGACATGTGTCAACCAAGTCAGCGAGTCTGACCACCCAATCCCGACAAGCATGGGTAGCGGAGGACCTATTTTAACCCGGATCTTAACGGGTATCTACTTTTGACTTACTGCTGTACGCTCACCATTACGCGAACATCTGGCATCATCACAGTCTGTTAGTAATTCTAAAACACGTGCTCAAGATGTACTTTTCCTTTTTGTAGTAGTGGTTGACGTATTACAATAAATTATTTTTATGATAATTGAAATGGTTCTTATATTCACTGAACCGCGTTCATGAAGTGGGGTTCTTATTTTGCTGTTTCACGCCAGATCAGTATCTGACCTTTGAATTGTTCGCACATCTCCGTTTATTATGGAAATCTGTAAGTGACATCACTGGATTGCTTAGTTTCAGTATCACGCTTCTGTCAATTCTGTAATTTCGATTGAATTTCTACAACGCGATAGTGTCCCTCTATGGTTATTTAAACTAACCCTTATCGGAATGGGTACAAGATCGTGTCCTTTTATTTAGTCTCTTTGTGAAATATTCTCTGACACGGATCTTCATATCTCTGCAAACACGCACAGGTCGATGGTTCACTATGTCATAAATATTAGCAACATCAACGTTAAACCAAAACACAAATCCTATAAGATTATGTAATTTATATCAAATCCTGGTGATTAAGGTTTATCTCCTGTCTTCCCAATTTCCGATATCGATCCTTAGATTACTCTTGACAGCAGCTTTGAGCCATGCCATACAACAATGATGAAAGGGCGTAAACAGCCTTCATGGCTATTTGTTACCGTAATATCGTAATACCCCTATACCGTCATACTATTACGTAGAGATTACAATGTGAACGCTTGACAGGTGCTGTGTACCTTGTGAGTTGTTTGAAAACGCAATCTAAATGTTGCTTTAACATATAACAGTGAGTGAGTGAGTATGGTTTTACGCCACTTTTAGCAATATTCTAGCAACATCACGGCGGGGGGACACGGGAAATGGGCTTCAAACATTGTGCCCATGTGGGGAATCGAACCCGGGCCATCGGCGTGACGAGTGAACGCTTAAACCACTAGGCTACCCCACCGCCCCTTAACATATAACACAGAACTTTAATCAGATGCATTTTAAAACAACAAGTTGTGAAATAGGAGTGCTGTAATACGTTTCTTACATGCTTTAAACTCGCACCAGCGAAGCATCAAATCGTTGTACATCTTGTATATTTATTGATCGCTGTGACGTGGTGATATATGACTCAACAGTCACGAATGACGTCATCCGGTTTACGGTTCCAGAATTTAAGAGTAAGCAAAACAAATGGCTTGTCTCGTTTTTGTAATATTTCGATGTGCTTGGCACTGTTCCAGAAATAGCGGCATATTACCCGTTTTACAGACCGCCGTCTAGAATATTGCTGACCTGTGAAGATGGTCTAACCACGCTCGCTTCAGCAATTAGGCTCGCTGACTTGGTTGACACATGACATCGTATCCCAATTGCGTAGATCGATGCTCATTCTGCTGATCACTGGACTGTCTGGTCCAGACTCGATTATTCACAGACCGCCGCCATATAGCTGGAATAGTGCTTAGTGCGGCATTAAACAACATTAAACAAACAAACAAACAGAATATTGCTTAGTGAGTAAACAACAAACGCTCACTCAAGGACTCACTCACTCACACATTATCGTTACGTTGTATACGTACAATGTCTTCTCTTCTTCTGACTCGCAACATTTGTGCGTACCATCCGTCTGACAGCAGAGCGGCAATTCGGGGTCTTTACAATAGTATGTGTTCCCATCTGCCTCGCCCAGAACCTCTTCTTTAAGGCACATCCCATTCTCGTCCGCTTCTGTAACATATGCAACAGCACATTCATTCATATCATATATCATATAGGGTTTGCACGACATGCAATAAAAGTGCAATTTTAGTGGCGAAGGAATTTACAACTAAATTATGAACAATTTGGTCTTCACCTAACCGGGTGTCAGTTGTCCTAAGCAAATGTAGCCATTACTGTTTCTTACGGAAGCGTCCTAGTGCCACAGTCTGAATTATTTTTATCTCCTAATTAGGACTTAGTATCAGGACTTAGTTATCTCCTAATTAGGAGTTAGTATCACCTAATTAGGAGATAATATCCCCTAATTAGGAGATAAAATAAATCGGACTGTGGCACTAGGACTATTCCATAGTTTCTAGCTTCATAAGTAACAAAGAATGCTTTGAGCCTTTAAAACATAGTGAGGAATTCAAGGTTTACGCCACTTTTTACAATATTCGATCAATACGCCGGCGGGGACACTAGAAATGGACTAAGCACATTGTAACCATGTGGGGAATCGAACCCGGTTATTTGGCGTATACATACATGCACATGACAAAAAGTCAACACAAGGGAACAATGAGTTGACGTACACATACCTGTACAAGACAAAATGTCAACACAAGGGAACAATCAGTTGACGTATACATACATGTACAAGACAAAACGTCAACACCAGGGAACAATCAGTTGACGTATACATACATGTACATGGCAAAACGTCAACACAAGGGAACAATCAGTTGATGTATACATACATGTACATGACAAAACGTCAACACAAGGGAACAATCAGTTGACGTATACATACATGTACATGGCAAAACGTCAACACAAGGGAACAATCAGTTGACGTATACATACATGTACAAGACAAAACGTCAACACAAGGGAACAATTAGTTGATGTATACATACATATACATGGCAAAACGTCAACACAAGGGAACAATGAGTTGACGTATACATACATGTACATGGCAAAACGTCAACACAAGGGAACAATCAGTTGACGTATACATACATGTACATGACAAAACGTCAACACAAGGGAACAATGAGTTGACGTATACATACATGTACAAGACAAAACGTCAACACCAGCGAACAATTAGTTGACGTATACATGCATGTACATGGCAAAACGTCGACACCAAGGAACAATCAGTTGACGTATGCATGCATGTACATGGCAAAACGTCAACACCAGGGTACAATCAGTTGACGTATACATACATGTTCATGACAAAACGTCAACAACAGGGAACAATGAGTTGACGTATACATACATGTACATGGCAAAACGTCAACAACAGGGTACAATGAGTTGACGTATACATGCATGTACATGGCAAAACGTCAACAACAGGGAACATTCAGTTGACGTATACATACATGTACAAGACAAAACGTCAACACAAGGGAACAATTAGTTGATGTGTACATACATGTACATGGCAAAACGTCAACACCAGGGTACAATGAGTTGACGTATACATGCATTTACATGGCAAAACGTCAACACCAGGGAACAATCAGTTGACGTATACATACATGTACAAGACAAAACGTCAACACCAGGGTACAATCAGTTGACGAACGTCAACAACAGGGAACAATGAGTTGATGTATACATACATGTACGTATGGCAAAACGTCAACACCAGGGAACAATGAGTTGACGTATACATACATCAGGGCATGTGACAAAACGTCAACAACAGGGAACAATGAGTTGACGTATACATACATGTACAGCCATGACAACGTCAACACCAGGGAACAATCAGTTCGATTGACGTATACATACGTACAAGACAAAACGCGTCAACACCAGCGAACAATCAGTTGACGTATACATACATGTACATGACAAAACGCAATCAACACCAGGGAACAATCAGTTGACGTATACATACGTACATGGCAAAACGTCAAAACCAGGGAACAATCAGTTGACGTATATGGATACATGTACATGACAAAACGTCAACACAAAGGGAACAATCAGTTGACGTATACATACATGTACACAGACAAAACGTCAACACCAGCGAACAATTGAGTTGACGTATACATGCATGTACATGGCAAAACGTCGACACCAAGGAACAATCAGTTGACGTATGCATGCATGTACATGGCAAAACGTCAACAACAGGGTACAATCAGTTGACGTATACATACATGTTCATGACAAAACGTCAACAACAGGGAACAATGAGTTGACGTATACATGCTATGTACATGGCAAAACGTCAACAACAGGGTACAATGAGTTGACGTATACATGCATGTACATGGCAAAACGTCAACAACAGGGAACATTCAGTTGACGTATACATACATGTACAAGACAAAACGTCAACACAAGGGAACAATCAGTTGATGTATACATACATGTACATGGCAAAACGTCAACACCAGGGTACAATGAGTTGACGTATACATGCATGTACATGGCAAAACGTCAACACCAGGGAACAATGAGTTGACGTATACATACATGTACATGACAGAACGTCAAAACCAGGGAACAATGAGTTGACGTATACATGCATGTACATGGCAAAACGTCAACACCAGGGAACAATCAGTTGACGTATACATACATCAGCATGACAAAACGTCAACAACAGGGAACAATGAGTTGATGTATACATACATGTACATGGCAAAACGTCAACACCAGGGAACAATCAGTTGACGTATACATACATCAGCATGACAAAACGTCAACAACAGGGAACAATGAGTTGACGTATACATACATGTACATGGCAAAACGTGAAAACCAGGGAACAATCAGTTGACGTATACATACATGTACAAGACAAAACGTCAACACCAGCGAACAATTAGTTCATGTATACATACATGTACATGACAAATTGTCAACACCAGCGAACAATGAGTTGACGTATACATACATGTACATGACAAAACGTGAAAACCAGGAAAAAATCAGTTGACGTATGGATACATGTACATGGCAAAACGTGAAAACCAGGGAACAATGAGTTGACGTATACATACATGTACATGGCAAAACGTGAAAACCAGGGAACAATGAGTTGACGTATACATACATGTACAAGACAAAACGTCAACACAAGGGAACAATCAGTTGACGTATACATACATGTACATGACAAAACGTGAAAACCAGGGAACAATGAGTTGATGTATACATACATGTACATGACAAAACGTGAAAACCAGGGAACAATGAGTTGATGTATACATACATGCACATGACAAAACGTCAACAACAGGGAACAAATCAGTTGACGTATACATACATGCACATGACAAAACGTCAACACCAGCGAACAATCATTTCGGTAGATACTGGAGATAGATTATTCTCTTTCGTTTTTTGTTTATATATCCGACCTCTATAATATCTGCAGTTACAGATTCTTAAACCAATATGACCCGTGAAGAAACCCGTAACCCATGCTTGTCGTAAGAGACTACTAGCGGGATCGGGTTGTCAGGCTTGCTAACTTGGTGGATACATAGAAGTGACAAAACCCTTTCCACATCCATAAGAAATTTCTGCTATAAGCAGCGTCGATTGTACAGCTGCGACTATGTCATGAGCAGCTGTTTGTCTGACTGACTGACTGAGTTTGGTTTTACGCCGCTTTTAGCAATATTCCAGCAACATCACGGCGGGGGACACCAGAAATGGGCTTCACACATTGTGCCCATGTGGGGACTCGAACCCGGGTCTTCGGCGTGACGAGCCAACGCTTTAACCATTAGGCTACCCCACCGCCCCAGCAGCTGTTTGTGGTCAGCAGTATTGTAGCTGTATGATGTTGTTTGTAAAGGAATCGGGTCTGGACCAAACAATCCAGTGATTGTCGCCATGAGATACGATGACAGAACATGTTTTTTATGAATCATTATGAAATAGTGTTCGCGAAAAGGTGAGCGTATCCTGCCCCACCGGTGGCACCTGTCTTAAACATTACGCTAAGTCTAGTCAATTGTTTACCTGAACTAATTCGGGAACGTATGGTATAAGTCATAATAGGGAATTGCATGGGAAACTTTGTCACTGATGCATCAAATTTCGAACTGTTCTCCTCATATCTACCATAAAACTTTTTGAAAGCTTTACTGACATTGACACTTGTATTACGAAACTTATTACGAAGGCAATTGGATAATTTGATGGTTATTGAACGAAATTAGATCATCGATGTACCGGAAGCTTCAGTTAAACATCTAGGCCAAATTACCTTGTTTGATTTTGCCAACCCAAGCAGAAATTCTGATTCATATGCATAAAGAAACAGATCCGCAAGGAGGGGAGCACAATTGGTGCCCGTGGGGATGCTTACTTCTTGGCGAATTGTTTTACCCAATATTTTTACAGAAATGCTATCAATGAGATCATAAACCATGTCATTGTATGGATCGATGCTCAAACTGTTGATCATAATTACTGTCTGGTCCAGACTCGATTAATTAGAATCAGCAACCACATAGCTGCAATATTGCGGCGTGAAACAAAAATAAAAACAAAACAAACCAATGAAACATTATATGATCGATTTTGTGCAGGTGTTGCAGATTGATGATAGCTTCAGGTTGCAGAATGGTCTTACATGGCTACAATGTGTTTATACCACGACATTGTCCCCCGAGTAGAATGTGCCCTAGGGGTTACAGCTATTGCGGGGTGGTCGGGTAGCCACATGGGTAGCCCAGTGGTTAAAGAGTTCGTTCGTCACGCTGAAGACCCGGGTTTGATTCTCCACATAGGTACAATGTGGGAAGCACATTTCTTGCGCCCTCGCCATGATATTGATAGAATATTGCTAAAAATAATTTTGTCAAATAATCATGCAAACTATCAAGTAAAAGATCTCATTCCATTCAAGCCATCCCAGAGTGTCTTTGTTGTGAACCTCACAGTCTACTCACCCCCTGCTATGCAAGAAATGGCTTTCAGAAATACAATATATCTTCTTGAGAACAAGAGAACAAAATTACAGGTATAACAGAAAA